AGTATCCAACCAGAAATGCAAGATGTGCTATATATAAATAAAAACAAGGTGCATATTATAAGTACTGACAATACAGGGAGCATTGAATGAGGATAAAATCTACAATATACAGATGTAAGTATTGACAGAATATTAACGGAGTAATAACAGAGTGCAAGTGCAGATTGTATGTACAAACAGTGAAGATACAGATAAGAAGAGGAATAAGGATATGAGAGAAGAACAGGAGAAGGAAAATAAATTAGACAAATATAAGGGAAGGAGACAAGGATAGGAGACAATGAGATGAATGAAACAAAAAGAGGAGACGAACAGAGGAGAGGAGGTGAGGAGGAGAAGGAGGGGGAAGGAAAAGAGGAGGGGACAATTAGAAGAGGAGATGAGGAGGACAAGAAGATTGGGATGGGAGCAGACAAAGAGAGGAGGTGAGGAGACAATAAGAGAAGAGGAGAAGGAAGGGCAGACAATGGAGGGGAAGAAACAAAACATGTAACAGAGGAGAAAAGGAGAGGGGACAAGGAGATAAGATATTACAGTACAATGAGAAGAAGACGTGAGGAAACAAGGAGAAGGGAACCAAAAAAGGAAGAAAAAGTGTGCGTGTGCGTGTTACCCCCAGATTGACAGACTCTGTGGTCTTCATCTTCCCCTTCAGCTCATCGATTAGCTCAAACACATTCCTCTCTACCTGCTGACTCTGCCTGTGTACACACACACACACACACACACACACTCTCACACACACACACACACACACACACACACACACACACACACACACACACACACACACACACACACACACACACACACACACACACACACACACACACACACACACACACACAATAGTTGAAATGGATGTTTTACACATTTAAAACCTGGTGCCTACATGACCCACAATGCAGTTCACCAGTATTACCAGCTGAGGGTGGCAGCAGCAGCCTGTGCTGAGCTGTCTGTCTGCAGCAGGAGGTCCTGAGGAGAGACGGGTGAGACAGGCAGCAGCAGCAGAGGGCAGGAGGACATGTCCTGCAGCAGCCGCTCCACACGACACTCCAACAGGTCTGAGGCCGCTTTAGAGAACTGATCCAGGTCCTTCAGAGCCACATACACGCTCTCTATGACTGGAGACAGATTATTCTCGGTTACAAGATAATATCTCATATGGGGTTGCCACATTTTAGTGTCAATTATTAAAGGTAATTATACAATTACTTAAATGTTCAAAGACGCCAAATCCTTTTCTCTAAATCGCTCTTAAAGTTTGTAAAAATATATGGCTGGTTTAATTCATAACAAAACATCTTATTTTATATTTTGTATTTTCTTTGCAAAAATCTTAATTAGCAAAGTAAATAGTGTCAAAACATTACTTAAGTACACTCGATCTTCTTAGCATTATCTTGCAGGTGATATAATATAGGAGAACATGTGTTTTTTCACAGCAAAATGTAATGCAGAAAGAAACAGGTTACATTTTATTTCCAATAGTACTTCAAAATGTTGTTTTTTTGCTCACATGTGTCTGTATTGAGAGCGCTCCAGGACAGCGTGATGAGTCCCGGGGAGAGAGAGGCCTCCACGTGGCTGATGAAGGGCTGCATCAGAGGGCAGAGGAGAGGCGGGACCCTGGATAACACCGAGCTGTAGTCCTGGAGCATATCCAGCAGTCTGCACAGTCCATTTTAACATTCTATAAACACATTCACTCGTTTTTTACTCTTTCCATAACTTCGTATTCTAAAGGATTCAACAGCTGTTCTCACCGCTTGTACAGCGCTTTGACATGTGCTTCTCTGGACGTCATTTTTTGGACGGCCTTCGGCACGGTAACCCCCAGTTTGGTCATCCACCGGGCTTCCTGCAGCACCTCCAGCACCACCGGGTCCAGGTTCACAAAAAACTCCTAGGAAAACACACAGTTCCCTCACACATCATTCCTGACTTGCCAGATGAGTGACTTTATATCCAACAACACAATAAACAAAAAAAGACATGGAGTGTGCCTCAACATTAATTGTTTAGAAAGATTAAACCAGAACATACAGGTTTGTTCCAGATGAAAACCTTATTCAAAACCTCTTGACATTTGTAACATTCAAAATAAACGAGTATTTACAGTATATACATATTTTTAAACATATCTTTATATATATTTGTATTTTGTATTCCTCTGGATTGTGGGAAACGGTATTTCGATCTCTCTGTCTGTACACACAAAGTGAAATATTGACAATAAAGTTGACTTTGACTTGACTGACATCAAGCCACAAACATAATGATATGTAGTTAGGTCGTGCACTTACATTATGCCAAATAGATTTGAGAGAAATATGTATTTTTGTCAGGATAGCAGTGCATATTATTTTGCCTCCTGTAATAGTGTTGTCAGAGTTTCTGGCTAGAAGCGGTCTGGAATAAATTGTTATCTCGTTTTAAGACACATTTTTACCATACTCTTTTTTTGGGAACTTGGTGTTTTTTAACTCCATATTTTAACCTGTGAAAAGCTCAGCGTTAAACTCCAAGTGAACTATTAACACTGACGGAACCCTAACCAGGAGAAGCTGAAGACTGCAACTCCCACTATCCCATGCTGCTTTATCATCACAGCTTTACAATCCTTTGAATCAAGAAGCTTCAATAATGTGCATATAAATCCACTTTGAACTAGTCCGCACCTTGCTGCTCTCATGCGTGACCAGCAGGGCGGCGCTCAGGCGGTGCGGGGCGCTCTCTGCAGCCTGACTCCACCCCTGCAGGTGCAGCACCTCGTACTGCAGCAACGCTACGGCCATCTTGTTGTAGCTCCGGATCACTTTAGTCATCTCTGGTCCCTGGCACACAGACAGACAGGCAGGTTGGGTCACAGAGGTCATATTAATAGGCGTGTTCACACCGCAGTACTTTTCCCACTTTAGTTCCGATATAGTTCCGAAATGTTGCGTTCACACCAACAAAAATTCTGAACTAAGATGAGTTCATGAGAACCTTTTTTACCCCCTTTTCCGTCCCTGCTAGAGAGCAGGGACTTTTGTGGGAGAAAAAGGTTCCTATTTCTGATTGGCTGGGCGGAATGCAAACCATTCCCCGTAAAACTCCCAAAAGGTTTTGTGAAGCCGCCATTTTATTATTCTCACATTAGCATTATTAGCATTAGCATTAGCCCAGCGCACAAACGCAGAGACTAATTTATGGCAACACAAAAGAGAACATGGGAGCGGTGGAGATGAGGAGGTGTCGGCGTTCTGGTGATTTACTCTGAAGGCTTCAGTAGAAGCTGCTGGGAGTCCCAGCAGCTTCTACTGAAGCCAGTCCCTAACTCCGGGGACTTCAGGCCAGGGATTTTGGGCGGCAGTATACGCCGTGAAGTTGTTTGCGGCCTGCCAGTAAACCCAAAGCAGAAGAAGAAGAAGTGACGTCAGCGGCTTCATTTGCCTATTCCTCCCCCAGGGACTTATTCCGGTGTGAACGCGATCTGTACTTAGTTCATCAGAACTAAAGAGTTCTGATGAACTAAGTTCTAATGAACCTTTGTGGGAAAAGTACTGCGGTGTGAATGCGCCTTATGTCGCAACCTACGACCACAAAGAAACAGATTTATTTAGTTAACACCTCAGGACTCAAGAAAGGAGGTTTAAAAGACTCATATTCTTTGCACTCTGGTTTTTCAACCCTGCGCAGGAACAAGCGCTTCTTCGGGGTATACTGCTAAACAGAAACTGTACTTTCTATATAACAAACAAACAGTATGTGCCAGTTGTGTATCTACATAAAGTGTTATTTTGTTCTTTGCGTTCGTTTTAAATGCCCAATGCAGCACTATTTCTGTATGCT